CTCCAGAAAGAATGAAGAGAAGGAGCCAAAGCCAAAACAACACCCAGTTGTGGATGTGACTGGTGATGAAAGTAAAGTCTGATGCTGTAAAGAGCAATATTGCATAGGAACCTGGAATGTTAGGTCTATGAATCAAGGCAAATTGGAAGTGGTCAAATAGGAGATGGCAAGAGTGAACATCAACATTTTAGGAGTCAGTGAACTAAAATGGACTGGAATCAGTGAATTTAACTCAGATCACCATTATGTCTACTGCTGTGGGCAAGAATCCTTTAGAATAAATGAAGTAGCCCTCATAGTCAACAAGAGTCCAAAATGCAATACTTGGATGCAATCTCAAAGACGACAGAATGATCTCTGTTCATTTCCAAGGCAAACCATTCAGTATCACAGTAATCCAAGTCTATGCCCCAACCAGTAATGCTGAAGAAACTGAAGTTGAACTTGTAGGTTCTATGAAGACCTATAAGACCTTCTAGAACTAACTCCCAAAAAAGATGTCCTTTTCATCATAGGGGACTGGAATGCAAAAGTAGGAAGTCAAGAAATACCTGGAGTAACAGGCAAATTTGTCCTTGGAGTACAGAATGAAGCAGGACAAAGGCTAATAGAGTTTTGCCAAGAAAACTCACTGGTCATAGCAAACACCCTCTTCCAACAACACAAGAGAAGACTCTACACATGGACATCATCTAATGGCCAACACTGAAATCAGATTGATTATATTCTTTGCAACCAAAGATGGAGAAGCTCTATACAGTCAGCAAAAACAAGACCAGGAGCTGACTGTGGCTCAGATCATGAACTCCTTATTGCCAAATTCAGACAATTTGAAGAAAGTAGAGAAAACCATTAAACCATCCAGGTATGACCTAAATTAAATCCTCTGATGTATACATGATAATAATTAATTTATACTTTACAAATAGCTTTACCATGAACCATCTCTTTAAAGCCATGCAGCATTTTACAGCAGAGGAAGTGGGGGGGTCCAAAATGTCGAGTGACTTCCCCAAAATAAGAGACAATGACAGAGACATATACACTCTTAAACTTTTAAAAACTGAATTATAAATATGTGAAGAAAAATGCTCCAGTCAACAGTGTATAAAATGTATAGATAGATTTTCACATAGTGAATACATCTACATAATATCCACTGAGGTTCAGAAATGATGCACAGCAGAAACACTTCATGTCCTTACCCAGTCCCAGGTAAGGACTTCTTTCTTGACTTCAAACAACATCAATTAGTTTTTCCCATTGTGTTTAATTTCTCTTTCTTACCTTCATACAGGATCAATTAGGTTTGCCTGTTGTGTTTGATTTCTTTCATCTGTTATATTTATGAGATACAAGTTATTGCATAAGTTTATATGTTATTTGAATATACTATCATTAATTCAGTCATTCCACTGTTGATGGACATTTGGCTGTTTCCAGTTTAGGGTCATCATCAATCATGCTGCTGGGAACATTATATATTAATATATACATATATAGCAGAATATATGTTATAGGATATATCTTAGTGTGGAATTGCTTAGTGTTTTCATATTTTCAGCTTTAACAGCTACTGCCAGAGAGGAATCTGAAGTGGTTGTACCAATTTTCACTCCCACTAGCCAAGTTTGATAATTCCAATTGCCCCATCCCTTGGGGTTGTCTGTCTCATTTTAGCCATTCTAATGGATGTGTTTATTAGGACTCTGCAGAAGCAGAACCAGTAGGGTGTGCATGTACATGTGTGTATGTGTGTAGACAAGTCCAAAATCTTCATGACAGGTCAGCAAGCTGGAGACCCAGGGAATAGTTGATGCTACAGCTCAAGTCTGAAGGCCATCTGCTAACAGAATCCTCCTTTCTTCAAGAAAATTCATTATTTTTCTATTTTTTCTATTAAGGCTTTCAACTGAGGCAATAATGAGTACCATCCATATTATGGAGAGTAATCTGTTTTGCTCCAAATCCACTGGTTTAAAGAACTTCCCAGGTGGTGCTAGTGGTAAAGAACCTGCCTGCCAATGCAGAAGACATTAAGAGATGCAGGTTCGATCCTTGGGTCAGGAAGATCCCCTGGAGGAGGGCATGGCAACCCACTCCAGTATTCTTGCCTGGAGAATCCCATGGACAGAGGAGCCTGGTGGGCTACNGGTAAAGAACCTGCCTGCCAATGCAGAAGACATTAAGAGATGCAGGTTCGATCCTTGGGTCAGGAAGATCCCCTGGAGGAGGGCATGGCAACCCACTCCAGTATTCTTGCCTGGAGAATCCCATGGACAGAGGAGCCTGGTGGGCTACAGTCCACAGGTCACAAAGAGTCGGTCACAACTGAAGCAACTTAGCATGCACTGGTTTCAATGTTGATCTCATCTAAAAAAATATCTTCACAGACACATCCAGAATGTTTGACCAAATATCTGGGTACTGTGGACTAGGGAATTTGAGACATAAAATTAACCATTACAGTGTGATATTGCTTTCTTGTAATTTGCATTTCCCTGATGATGTATGAAGCTGAGCTTATTAGCCATTTGGATATTATCTTTTGCATTTTAATCTCTTGCCTATTTCCAAATGGGGTTCTCATTCTCATTCATTAAGAGGAGTTCCTTATATATTCCATAATTTGTTACTTGTATATATTGCAAATTTGCTTCTCTTCTGGGCTTCACCTTTTTATTCTCTTTATATTATTTTCTTCCATAGAGAATTTACTTGTTTCTGGCATGCAGTTAAGGTAGGGGGATTTCATCTTAATCCTATCAGGAATTGGGTTTTTTATAGGTTGGCTTCAGTCTTTATACAGGAAAATGTATGTCTTGAAAGAGAAAGTGTTAGTTGCTCAGTCATGTCTGACTCTTTGTGACCTCATGGACTATAGCCCGCCAGGCTCCTCTGTCCATGGAGTGGGTTGCCATTTCCTTCTCCAGGAGATCTTCCCAACCCAGGGATCAAACCTGGGTCTCCTGCATTGCAGGTGAATTCTTTGCTATCTGAGCCACCAGGGAAACCCCAAATGTATGTCTTATTTGGTCTTATTCTTTAGAATAAAGCTCTTCAGGTGTCCCAACTTAAAATCTAGTGCATTTACTAGGACCCTGGACCTGACTGGCCCTGGACTCCAGGTTTTATTCCTTTAGTCCATTGGACTGCCTGTAGTTCTGCTCAATGCCTTAGCCTCTAGGCTGCCACATCTATTTCGGGAAAGCTATGCTGAATATTGAGTCATTGCAGTGTCTTTTTGTCCCTGGAAGCTTGGTTCCTCAAAGTCTTAGCACCTCACTAGCTTTCCAATTCTTTTGAACAGATTTGTTTCCTTTTTTCATTCAGTGTTTGATCTTTTTCTTGGTGGAAGAGACAACAAATCTAACACAAATTATTTCCCCCTGGCAAGAACAGGGGTGGGACAACTATAGGGAAGTCTGCAGTCATGGTGCCTTGTGAAGCTAACCACATGAAACAGTCACAGAGCTCACAGTCACTGTCCCTGTCGCCTGAGGCCTCCCCAGGGATCCACTAGAGCTCAGCATGGATGGATACTGATGAGGTGACCAGCAGGATGACAAGAGTGCCTGGTGGGTTAAAGGGCTTTATACAGTCAGAACCTTCTCACCATTCAGCTCTCAGCCTACAGGCCCATTCTGAAAGAACCCACCCTGGGACCCTCTCTCCAAAGCATTCCCTTTCCCCAGTCTCTGCCTTATACATGGTCTCTACCATGACCTGAAATTATCTTTTTCATATAGTGGCTTACGTGTTTATTGAGTACCATACCCAAAATTGCTACATGAAAATAAGAACCTTGGCCATTTTCTTCCCACATCATGTTCTCAGGTGTGTAACACAGTACCTCATGCACACAGGCATTCCCCATTCATTGGCTGTATTAATGAAGAATTCAGGCAGACCTTGAAGATATTGTGGATTCAGTTCCAGACCACCACAATAAAGCAAATACAGTGATAAAGTGAATCACATGAGTTTCCCAGCGCATATGAAAGTTATGTTTACACTATACTGTGGCTTATTAAGTATGCAAGTCTTGTGTCTGAAAAAAGATGCACATACTTTAAAAATACTGTCTGAAATTTTCTAATCATCCAATCTGTCAACAAGTTTTAGTAGTAACATCAAAGATCACTGATCACCATAACAAACACAGTAATCATGAAAAAAGTTTGAAATATGACAAGAATTACCCAAATGTGACACAGAGACAGGAAGTGAGCTAAAAGGGCATAGATAGACTTGTCTGAGCAGGGTTGCCACAGACCTTCAATGTGTAAAAAATGCAATGTCTATGAAGTGCAATGAAATAAATTGCAATAAAATGAGGTGTTTCTGTAGCCAAATGAACGGCCAGACAACTTATAAAAGGACAAGAGCAGAAGGAATGAAAGGCAAAAAGTCCCGTGGGAACCATCTCTCACAAAAGACCTTTGCGAAGAGCATGTTTCCTCCTGTCCTGGCTTTTGCTCTTTCCCAGCCCCACCCCACTTGCCTGCAGCCTCCTCCATTTCTCCCAGAACTCACCTCCCTCAGAAAACCTCACCCTGCCCATGAGGGGCTCATCCCTCTTCTCTTCTTGTGTCTTGGAATCCCAAGCAATACCTTTGATGTCCACCAGGTAGGTGATGGCCTTCTCTGCTCTGTCCACCTGATAGAGATGGTGGTGGGACTTGAGTCCTAAGAAGGAAGGTGGATATGAGTGTCCCAATCCCAGCTGGGTCTGTCAGCACGGCAGTTTCTCTTTACTGAGTTACTTAGTGAAGATAAACCTTCATTTGCTGTGGCTACATACAGGTCAAAACTCTATGGAGGAGGTACTTCCCTGGCAGTATGGTGGTTAAGGCTCTGCACTTCCAGTGCAGGGAATGTGGGTTCAATCCCTGGCTGGGGAACTAAGATCCCACGTGCCTCATGGCCAGAAAACAAAACAAAACTCAGTGGAGGAAAAGCTGGATATTTCTCCTGCTAGCCTTAGAGGCCAGGCCTCTAATTCTCCCCTGTTCCCCATCTCACCTTGTTGCTGCCATCTCAAAAGAAGCCATCCCTGATGTTATCCACTGTGTTTCCAAGGGCTGGCACCAGTTTTCCCCTATCAGTTCCGCTGGCTTTCTTTGACTTCAGTCTTCTGATCACAGGTAGGGAGAGCGTGCTGACTTATCCCACTGATTACAGAGCCACGTATCCTCCTACATACAGCTAGTAGTCAGCCCTTTGTACCAGGGTGTTCTGCCTCTGCCATTCCACTGCATGAAGGCCCCTTACAAAGTGCAGTCCCTTTCATGGGTCCTTGGGGAGCTGACTTCTGCCTGCATTTGCATCCTCATCTCAGCTCTCCCTTGGCCTCCAGCCCTAACCAACCTCTGTCAGTTCCTCAAAGGCATTGAGTCTGATTTCTCTGTGAGCCATTGCGAGCAGCGTTTGAACTATTCAAATTCTCTCCTTCTCACCTCGGTTGGCTGCTCTTTCTCACCCTTCAGAACTCATCTCATAGGTCCCTTCTTCAGAAAACATCCCCCTCAGCAGACGACTGAGTTGCCCCTTATGTCTTCTTATGGCACTGAGGACCATTGTGGAATAAGCTTATTACAAATTATAATCACCCATTTACAGTTCTAACTCCCTAGCTAGACCCTGGACAGGGACCATGCCTATTTGCTCTTCGAGCGGCTGTTAGTTTGCTCATGCCTGTCTCCCTCCAGACAATGCACTTGATGAGACCGAGGCAGTGTTTCTGCTCACCTTCATATCCCGGTGCGCTGCCACATGCCCGGCGTGTAGTAGGTCCAGAGGCACCCACAGCCCCATGTCCTCCTCCATGCCAGCTGCTAGCTTTTACTGAATGTTTTCTATGTATCAGACTTCTGGTAAACATTTGCATGGGGTGTATAGTTTATTTCTCACAATCACTTTGTAAGATAGGATCATCAGCCCCACTTCACAGTTGAGGAAATGTAGGCACAGGAGAGGTTTAGCAACTCAGCCAAACTGACAATATTAAAGTCCTAGTGAGTGAGTGAGTGAGTGAAGTTGCTCAGTCATGTCTGACTCTTTGCAACCCGCATGGACTATAGCCCACCAGGCTTCTTCATCCATGGGATTTTCCAGGCAAGAGTACTGGAATGGGTTGCCATTTCCTTCTCCAGGGGATCTTCCCAACCCAGGGATTGAACCCAGGTCTCCAACACTGCAGACAGACTGTTTACTGTCTGAGTCACCAGGGCATGCCATTAAATTCCTAGAGCAGAGATCAAACCTGGGCCATGTGGCTCCCGCACCCATGCCCTTAACCCCTGCTCAGCACTCTCCCTATCACGACTTCTATCTCTCTGCGTGATAGCTGGCCCCTCCTCCACTCCAACACCCCACCCCCTGCCCGCCCCGGTCCCAAGAGCTTCTTCCCATGAAGGCAACAGCAGAAGAGGGACCAAATGAATGAAGGGCTGACTTAAAAGTGAACAGCCGTTTTAGCTGCTCAGCTAACATTTTCCACCAGGTGGCAGTCGCAGCTCCCAGATAAAATCGTCTCCCTTTACTTCCCTCCACTTTGAGAAATAAAGAACTCCATTTTTATTTTTTTGCCAAGGAATGAGTAGTCTGAATTCAAACCCCAGCTCTCTTCAGTTGAGCTTTTTGAAAATGGCACTTGGAGAAAGCGGGTTTCCCATCCCTAGGCACCCTGGGGTGTGTGGCCGGGGCTGCTCAGCCAGGGCAGGTGGAGAAGTTCAGCACCTGCTTGGGGGGCGCCCTGCATAGAGAAACCGGGAGCAATTGTGAAAGATGTCGTTTCAGCACGAAAAAGAGAGGACTGCTTCTCCCTCCACCGCCTCTCATCCAACAGCTGCAGGAGCAGAAAACCGAAGGATGCATATTCCTAGTCATGAATTTCATTTGGCCAGCAGCAGGCTCGGGGACATATGGTCCCCCGAGGAGATAGCCGCAGATGACTGTCAGAAAAGGGCCTTTCCACCTCGTCTGTGCCTGAAATGTTCCTTTGCTCTCCAGGCTCTGCCGTGTGCTTCTGGCAGCTTCCACTGTGTTCCTGTGAGTGGGATGGGCTGGCGGGCCAGAATGGTCCTTGATGCCAAGCCCGCCCCGACTTTCGAAAAGCTAACCCTAGGACATCGAGAAACAAAGAAACCCAGGCCCATTCTATGGCAGAAGGAGGGATGCAAGAGAAAATATTTTTTTTTTATGAAGAAATTGTGATATGTTTAAAATGTTTACATCAAACCAATAAATGGCATTAACCCCCAAAATACAATGTAACAGAATTATCCTTTTCTCCAGGAAATTCCAGGAATTATTTTTAAGACTGAATTCTTGGTGTGTGTAAGCAGCGGGTGTGATAATGGCACTCAAGCTTAAAGGTGCGTGATGGCTTGACGTGTTCCCATTCCTGTTGCTGGATCTCTGCGGCCACAGTTTAATGTCAACTGTCTCCATTTGGGGCCCTCTGTGTCTGAAAGGACTTGGATCCCTGGGGGCCTAGACTAACATTGAGTTTGTTGAGAGAGAATGGATGGGAAGACCTCACCCTGTGGGGAGTGGAGAGAGAAACTCTAGACTTGATAGTGGGGGGACTGAGCCTTTTCCCGTTCCCTTGCTGCCTTACCACACTAACCCGATACACACACACACACACACCCCTCAGCACCCGGCTTCTGAGCCCGATCCCTAAGATTAACTGAATTGTCTACATCCTCCATCTATCTCACCTTCCTTTCATATACCCTCTCCGAATCAAAATAATGCTTAATCAGAATTAGAGCCTGTTCAATGCTGCTAAGTGCCACTCAGTACTTGTTAAAGCAGGATCTCTGCGCCCTTTTAAACAAGGCAAGCATTTCAATGAGACTTCAGAGGACAAGGAGGGACTGGGGTAAAGACCATCCTTTGTAATCGATACCCTCTTTCCGAAGCTTCTGTGTCTCCCGGTAGGATTAGGACAGGCCTTGCTTCCCTCTACTTTCACGAAGGTTTTATCTTTGCTGCTGTGCTCCAAAGAAATGGGGTTAGTGCCGCAGGGTCAATTGTGTCTCCTCCCAAAAGAGTGCAGCAAGTGGGGTTTTGCCAAAGCCCATGTCACTCGTCTCCCTCCCTCCCTCTGCACGCTCCCTCCCACACACAGCCCTCTCCTGCAGCCATCCTAGCTCAGGCTGCTGCAGGAAAGAACGTGGAGCCAGAGAGGATGGTCACACCTAAGTCTCCGGCGAGCCCCTGGAACAGCCACTGAGTGTGGGTTCTTGGCTCCGCACAGGAAAGATTTCAGGAGTGAGCCACAGTCATGTGAAAGGTTTATTTAGGGAGGCACATACTGCACAGAGTGGGGCCATCTCAGAAGGTGAGAGGCGCCAGGGTCTGGGGCTGTCAGCTTCTATAGGGTGGGTAATTTCACAGGCTAAAGACTGGGAGGATTATCCCAACTATTTTGGGGAAGGGATGGACACTCCCAGGAGCTGGGCCAGTGCCCACTCTTTGGCCTCTTACGGTGAGCCTCGAGACGGCCATGGCACCTTTGGGCATGTCACTCAGCTTGCTAACCTGTTACAGAGTACACTGAGGTGCAAGGTCCGGTGGAAGCCAGTTGTTTGCCATCTTGGACCAAGCTGGTTCTAACCAGTTTATGTAGTGTTCTCAATGGCTGTCATTCTTTTAGAGATTGTGCCCTGTCACTTTCCTGTCTCAAAGGCTCTGTCACCCACCAACATCATCCAGAGACCCACCACCATTCCCTGCTAAACGGTTCTTCTGTTCCCATGCTTCTTCCCCTACAAGCTATTCTCCATGCAATTTCCAGTTCAGTTCAGTTCAGTCGCTCAGTCGTGTCCGACTCTTTGTGACCCCATGAACCGCAGCACGCCAGGCCTCCCTGTCCATCACAAACTCCCAGAGTTCACCCAAACTCATGTCCATCGAGTCGGTGATGCCATCCATCCATCTCATCCTCTGTTGTCCCCTTCTCCTCCTGCCCCCAATCCCTCCCAGCATCAGGGTCTTTTCAATGAATCAGCTCTTCGCATCAGGTGGCCAAAGTTTCAGCTTCAGCATCAGTCCTTCCAGTGAGCACCCAGGACTGATCTCCTTTAGGATGGACTGGTTGGATCTTCTTGCAGTCCAAGGGACTCTCAGGAGTCTTCTCCAACACCACAGTTCAAAAGCATCAATTCTTCTGTGCTCGGCTTTCTTTATAGTCCAGCTCTCACACCCACACGTGACCCCTGGGAACCACAGCCGTGAGCAGACGCAGAACGGCCACAGGTTAGCTCCCGTCACTCTGCTTCAGCTCCTCTCCAGTGGCTCTCCATCTGATTTAAAGATAAAATCCAAAGTCTGCACCCTTGCTGGGAATGCCTTTCCTTAGCTGGCCCCTGGCCATCTCTGGGCTCATCTCCTGACCCTTTCCTCCTGTCACTGAGCCCAGTTGCAGTACTCTGCCTTGGATGTACCAAACCCAGTACTGCCTCAGGACCTTTGCATATGCTGTTTCCTTTGCCTAGAATATGTTTCCCTCAGATTTTGGTATGGCTTGTTTTTTCTCTTACTATTCACATCTCAGCTTAAATCTCACCTGTCAGAGATACCTTCTCTAATCTCCCGGTTCAAGTAGCCCCATTCTTAGTCTCCACCATATTATCATTTTGTTTCTCTCATAACACTAACAGCACTATTTTTTTCTGGTTTGTGTATGTGCCTGCTTGTGGATTGTCTGATTTCATCTTCTGAAATATAACTGCCAACAGATAGGGACTTTGCTGGCTTTGCCACCCCAATATTTTTAGAGCTTAGAACAGGGCAAACACTTTTATAAATGATTGAATGAATAAAAAAATTCCTTGCTATGATTCTCCTTTGCAAATTGCCACCTTTGTTTAACAGAATGCAAGTTCAAACTCGAGGTTAGTGGTTCTGTGAACAATAATAATCCCTTATCTTTGTAAGGCATTATCTCCTAAGATCCACCCAACAACTTCCAACACTAGGTGTGGGCATCTCATTTCACCAGAGCTCAGACTGCTGAAATGAATCACCAAAATCACATAGACACACACATACACAGCTGTGGGCTCAAAATGTAGGTCTTTGTTTCTAGGATGTAAATGCCAAGAGGACAGAGATTTTTGTCTTATCCCCAGGTGGCGCAGTGGTAAAGAATCCACCTGCCAATGCAGGAGACACGGGTTCAATCCCTGGGTTGGGAAGATCCCCTGGAGGAGGGCATGGCAACCCACTTCAGTATTCTTGCCTGGATCATCCCCATGGATAGAGGAGCCTGGTGGGCTACAGTCCATGGGGTCACAAGGAATCAGACGTGACTGAGCACACACACACACATCCCCGCAGTATCCTTAGAATAAATAATATGAAAATAATTATTGAATGAGCAAACTTATGGATAGCATTCTCTCTCTGGGGCTAAGGCAGATTCTGAGACACAGCCGCTCCCCTCCTCTCACTGTATCTGACCGGTCTGTTCCAGCATCAGAGGAGGCCAGGTCTCTCTCGTCCTCCACCCTCCCTTCCAGGTCCTGGGTGCCCCCACTTCCAGTCCGGGAGCTGCACCCACAACCCAGTCAGACTCTCTTCTCCCAGCACCCACTCTTGTTTCTCCAAGGTTTCCACAGGGACTAGGTTCTGGCTTCTCCAGCATGTTCGGAGAAGCTTGTTAGAAATGCAATCTCGGGCTCTCTCGGGGCAAAACTAAAACCCGCATTTGAACAATATCCCCAGGTGAACCTGGCACCCACTGGCATTTGAGGACTCTGAGCTGCCTTTATCAAGCATTCCCATCTCTATCTTGCCTGGGAAATACCTGAGCCTTGAGGCCCCACTGCAGCCCAGCCGTCCTCTTAGTGGCAGTTTTGAGAGCTGGTCTTGAAAAGAGAACGAACGTCAGGATCCTGTGAGTCACCCATTCGGCAAACATTTAATAAGCACTTATGGTGTGCAAGGCACATGACAAGTCCTGAGGACACAAATAGGATTCAGGCAGCACTTGTCTGCCTCACCTAAAAAAGCAGGTACACAAATTATATATCGCGATAATTAGACACTGTAATAAATGCCAGTCAGAAGAAGAGCTTCTGATAACAAATCAAGTGTGATGACGGTGAGTGCAGGAACAGAGGGCGTTTAGAAAGAATGACTCAGGAATTTATCTTAGAGGAGGTGATGTTTAATCTAAGCCCCAAAGGGTGAAGAAAGAGCCAGTTCTGTTCTGAGTTGAGGGTGGAGAGGGTGGAGCAGGGCAGGCAGATGATTTCTTACTGGAGGTAAAAAGGAGTGGGAAGACCTTGCCCATGAAAAGTGGCTTGCACTGAAGGAAAGAGAGAGGTCTGTCTTGTGCCGGGAAGGTTTGATGGAGAAGGGTTAGGAGAGGAAGTTGGGGTGGGAGCAAGGCTAGATCATTCAGGTCACCCACACCTGGGAAAACATGTTGATTTTATTTCCGGGGCCTTGGGGAGCTGTTGGAGGGCTTTATCAAGGCTTGGCGAAGCCGGATTTCTGCTGTACTCTAGCTGCCTCGGGCAGAGCACTAGACTTTCACAGCACCTGATCCAGTCATTGGAGCTGAGGATCACTGCCCCCTCTGACCAGAGATGGGTGGGGTTGGGTGTAATATCACAGAGGGGAACGGACTGGCCACAATGTCAGGACCTAGGATAATAATGGTCATGATAATAAGAGTCACCAATGTTTATAGTTTGTGGGTTTCTTTTTTTTTTCATGATTGCCTCATTTAATCCTCATCTCAACCTAACGATGGAGACATTATTATTTGCCCCTTCCGATGGATGAGATGACCAATACTCAGAGGTTTCCTAGTGTGGCTGAAATCACTCAGCCAGGCATGGCAAAGGGACAGAAATCCTGGGCGGTGGGGGGAGAGGGTCTCACCCCAGAGCCACACTCTTAACCCCACGGATCCCAAGCGGCCTCTACTATCCCACACCGTGCCTGGGTCACATTTGCCTGAAATTTGCTATTCGTGAGGGCAAAACGGAAATAATTGAGGAACTGAAAATCATATTTCCTCAAAGGCAGGATAATGGAGTGGTCAGCTGGGAGACAAAAGGCCTACTTTCAAGCTCCCACTCCTCTTTTCCTGCTTCTTTCCCTAAAGTGGAAGATTCCAGAAAACAAGTCCCAGCTCATGGCCCCTTGGAGTTCTGCTCACCTTGGTAGCGGAGGCTCAGCTCCTCTGCTACAGTGTATGGATTCCCCAACCCCCACCCCGTAGGAGGAAGAAAGCAGGAAC